GGGGTGGGGGGGGGGGGGGGGGGTTAGTGGTAGGCGGTAAACGGTAAGCGGCAAGGTGGTTCGAGAGATCGGTGATCGCGAGGACGAGGAACTACATGGAACGGGTCCGAGGACGGAAGAGGTCCGGTTCAGGTAGCAGGTGCAACTTTGCGCACAGGTGGGTGGAAAGTTCGACGTTTATCGTAGACACTCTACTTGTCTCCCTTGTTACCCGTCCCTGCCCTCTTCTACCTGGTGTACCTATACCACGCATACAATAGGATATCGATTACACTTGACAGTTTCCGACGGTTAAATCTAGTTTAACTGGTAATCGCATTCTTGGAACGATCTTAATTGCCAGGTTCTGCCACTGACCGTCCTTCCATTTCAAAAGAAAAATATTTCCTAACAATTGGAACGGACGAAAGTTTACGAGGCATTGGTAAAGGTATTTTATTCTGATCGATTCTTACGTAAACGTCACTCGATTTTGCATTAGATTTGATCGCGTGGCATATCCACGTAAGACGGGTATAAAATACAAGCTAGGTTGATCGTTGGACGACTGTCGCAAAAATCCAACTGCACGGGCAATCTTCCTATATCGTTAATGTTAACCCAAGGCCGAATGCAATTCGTTGCGTTCGATCGAACGTTTCGTCGGTACAAAAGCTGAGAAGAAGAAACGCGTTTAAGGGACAAAGCGAACGGGATCTCCGACGATACCGAATAGGAGGGATAACGTTGTACGATAGATAAATAAAGCGCAGGTATAGAAAAAGAAGCGAAAGTTGGGAGAGGTGTGAAACGAAGTAGACGGTGATCAGATGATTAGTCCAAGTTTCGGATTTGGTTAAGAAGTGTTTTTTTTTCGCACAAGACGGTTCTCGCCTGCTTGTCGCGTATGCCAATCCACGCTGGCGCCGCCGCGCCCTATCTCTCTTTCGCATTCTCCTTTTCTATCGACTGTCAGAGTTCTCCCTTCCACCGCATCTTACCGTTCTCCACGGATTGCGTTCTCTCGCAACCGCATACCCCTCAGCCACGATCTATAACATCGCTCTTCTCCGTCCAGTCCTTTTCACAGCCGCATTATTTCGCGTTGCCGAAGCAGCTCGTTCTCCCTTTCGCGAACGATCGGTGTCGTCATTTATAACGATAATTATCGTTCTTTGCAAGTTCCACCAGAGACAGCTATCAACCGATCGAACGATATTCGTATCCCGCGTTAACATTTACGATTTTCTTCACGTTGGCTATTTTCGATTCGTAGGAAAACGAATGTTCAAGAAGCGTGTTTGCCGAATGAAATGGGAGAATTTCTTTTCCAGCAGTCATCTTTCGACTACTTTATATCTAGATATTCGTACCGAACGTAAAGGTAATTAATCGAATGGTAATAGAACGTAAAGATAATTATAGAATTATCGAGAAGGTTAGCGTTCTCGATGGGGGGACCAAGATTGAGGAAAATTTTTGCAGAAATATTCACCTTTCATCAAAGCCGATAATTCGGAGGCTGATTCCACCACGTGATGGGTCATTCTGATAAGTGAACTGACTGCAGACACGAATACGCACTTGGGTGCGTCTTGAGCACGGTAGTTTTCTTTCTTCTTGATTACCACACGCGCATTATTCCATTCGTACACTACTGTTTGCGCGATGGATCCTACGAACACGTGTAGCAGACAGGTTTACGATTTGCCGGCAGCAGTGTTGCACACCACGCGTTTTTCCTCTCTCCCTTGATCGTTTTGCGCTCTTCTATCTTCTCTTTCAAATCCGTCTCTTATCGTTTTCGCTTTTCGCTTCTCGCTGTTCACTTCTCATTACTGGCACTCGTTATAACCAGTGTTTAAATTTCGTTGTGTCCCTACTAGGATCAGTCGAAAAATTTAGATGGGAAGCACGAAAAAGGAGAAATCACGATCACGATAGCGAGGCGTAATCGAGGTGAGTATCGTTCGCGTATAAAACTGATACAAGTGGAAAAAAGAATGGACTAAAACAAGATTATTGCCACGATACGTCTTCACTCGACCGCGGTCGACAACGTACTGACTCGCCTCGTGAGTTCGAGCCTCTTTCATCGCTTACGCATGCTGTAACGTCCCAACTGGTCTGCCTGCCTACTGTGACTTTGCTGTCTCCAACATTACCACCACCACCACCACCACCACCACACCACCACCACCACCACCACCACCACCACTACCATTACCATTGCTAACATTACTGTCGCTGTCGCTACTGCTGTTGCTATTGCTGTTGATGCTGTCGATGCTGCTGCTTCTACTGCTGCCACTGCTGCCACTGCTACTACGCGACTACTACTATTACCATCACCATCAGCAGTGTCAGCACTGATATTACCACTATCACACCATTATATCATTACCATTATTATTATCTTTACAATTGCTAATTACTATTATACACCACTACTAGCAACACGCTTCTTTTTCTGAATCCGCGTCAGTTTTCTCTAGCCAAGAATGTATGCATGCATCGGCAGTAGTACCACTACCGTTGCACGAAGGCGCCCGAAAGTCGAGTAAGCATCGTCTCCCTACGCTTGGAAACTCGATCGGATCACAGGACACAGATGAAATTCGTACATGGTATGTACAGGGTATTCGGTTTGTGATTCAACCGCGTCGAGCATCTCGCTATAAAAAGTATTATCATTAACGGACAATGGTAATGGCGGTAGTGGTAGTGGTGATGGTGGTGGTGGTGGTGGTGGTGGTGGTGATAATAGTGGTAGTAGGAATAGAAATGGTGACGTCGCGGGCTAGTGCCGGCACGACACAAGCACTGGTGTCGACGCTGACATTGGTGACGTGAAACAAACGGCGAAGAGGTGTGTGGCGCGTATCGTTGGCAGCAAGAGGCAGCGGGGGCCGACAGAACGGCGCCAGTCGACCGAGAGTTTGACTCGGCTCCTCCGTGTGCCGCGCCGCATCGTCCATCTTTCTTTCCCGCCATTCCTCTCCCTTCCGTGCCGCCCTTCGCCACACCTCGCCGTACCTTATCTTCTTTTCTCCTTCTTTCTTCCCTTCTCCTATCCTTCTCCTTTTTTCTTTTACATTCGCCTGGTTCGTTCCTCCTCTTTCCTACTTTGTCTTCTCTCTTGCCGCGCAAACCTTTCGAACATCGTCGACTCGATTTCGAATCAACCACCCGCCGTGGATCGTGATGTTACTGTCACGGTTCTACGCGTACGCGAAACAAACGCGTATCTGCGAGACTTGTCCGTTCGTTCGTTTGTTCGTCGATAGTTACAAACTAAAATCTCTGTTCGACGTTTGGCGATAACGTACATATATGTATAGTTTATCTATACGTCTACCATCGTTAATTGCTTGTTAATCGCGCATCCTTTTGGCCATATTTGACATTCCACTTGCACACCGAAGGCGTGAACGAGTTGACTCGAAAGTTGACTCGAAAGTTGACTCGACCACGAATCGTGGATATTTCGTTCGCGTGTACCACCGATACCGCTGATAATAATATACGCATAAATAATAGTACACAGCAGAGATAAGCAAAAGTCGCGTCTCGTTTTTACCACTGTTCAAACATTTACCGCGTAAAAATTCTTACGGTCAACCTGCGCGTATGTTTCGCAGCTTATGTAAATCGAGATCTCGATGCCTGTTTTGCCGCCGATACTTGTAGACAACGCGGTAAGCGTAGGTCGAACGATCGACCGTAACAACGATTAATCGCGATTTACTCGCCCTTTTCTTTCAACAAGCGATTTTTCCAACGATTCGCGGAGCTTCTCTACATCTCGTGGATTAAACGTATTCCTCGTGTCGAGTGAAATCGAACCGAACGATGCGCGATCGATATTCTCGATACGTTAAAACAATCGAAAGATATCGCGCGATTGCTATCAGTCGCGCAATTACATATCTTCGAGTAACGTCAAGTGAGTAATCGTCCGTCTATCGTGTGGTACGATTTCGTTGATCGTTAGATTTTCCATTCGATTCGATTTTTTAATTTTCGTTTCTTAACGTGATTTTCTCGAAAGTTTTCCCATAGAATTCGCCACTGTGGTGCGAGTTTCTAACGTTCGTACGAGTCCGTACGAAAATTGTTTGGTCTGCGAAGAAAGAAGCAAGGGAACCCCTGGTGCTAACGTGTTCGTACGGTATCTGCGAAGCATATGCGCGGATAGGGGTGCGTTAAGGGTATTAAAGAGAAAAGGCGACTAGGCAACGCGCTATGCGATTTGTCGGGATGCGTATGTCGACCAGATGTGACGAAAAAGGCCAAGGAAATTCCCAAGGGCACCGTCCACCGCCCTGCTAACCGAATGCATTCGACCGAGCATGCTCTAGCGTTCGATTCGCCATAGGCATTGTCACAAATCATGCATCAGTGTATTCCGTTTCACCCGATTCTATTCGTATTCGATGCAAACAAAGTGGAAGAAAAGAAAAAAAGGAAAAGGGAAA